AATGCTGGAACTCATCAACCAGCTGGACGGCTTTGACCCCCGGGGCAACATTAAAGTGCTGATGGCCACCAACAGGCCCGACACTCTGGATCCAGCGCTGATGAGGCCGGGGAGACTGGACAGAAAGATCGAATTTAGCCTGCCTGACCTAGAGGTGAGCCGGGCATCCCACTGCAGGGCAGCGGGGCTGCCTGTATGATGTTCCCCACGCTAACAGTTGTCACCGCTCTCCTTGTTAGGGTCGGACTCACATCTTTAAGATTCACGCGCGTTCGATGAGCGTTGAAAGGGACATCAGATTTGAACTGCTGGCTCGACTCTGTCCAAACAGCACCGGTGAGTGGAAAGGTGTGGCTTGTGTGTCGGTCGGTCGGGTGGGGCTGTTTCCACAAAGCTCAGTTACCTTTCTTGTGGTCTGAAAGGGGCCGAGATCAGAAGTGTCTGCACAGAGGCTGGCATGTTTGCCATCAGAGCGCGGCGAAAGATCGCGACTGAGAAGGACTTCTTGGAGGCTGTAAATAAGGTCATCAAATCTTACGCCAAATTCAGCGCTACTCCCCGGTACATGACGTACAACTGAGCCCCGAAGGCTTTCGGACGGCAACGCGTGGCATCACAATTCCAGCCCCACACAGACTTGGTAATGACGACTTGCTAACAAAGAAATGGCTTCAAATTGTATGCTTTCCACATCTCTCTTCTCTGTAGTATAATAAAAAGTGGTGCCCAGTATCACCGGGCAGAAAAGCTGATTACAACATGTGCTTTTTGGCCCGTGACTGTGAAGAGGGTCAGATGTGTCATCTCGTCGTGTTTATCCACTGCCCAGTGAGCACAGTCCCGGGCATCTTGATCTAAGGGAAGTGCACGTTCCGACCTAATTGACTCAGCATGACGGTAGGGCATCAAGGCCAAGTTTGTCTGAGATGGACCCTACCATTAAAACAGCTCATGTAGGTCCATGGAGATAAACGTGTAGCAGTTATATTTCCCTACCGTCTGTGTCGAATGCTGTTTTGGCTTAACCCTTTTGAAAGTGGAGAAGCATATGGTGGACTAGATTTTGCTTTGCTTCTGATTTCAAGTGAACCCAGAATAGATGAGTGTGGTGAATTGTGTAAAATGTGTGCCCACATGCCAGTTTCCCTTAGAGGATCCAGACCAGGCCACCTGTGGAGGGGTTGAGATTCTTTGCCTAAGTTCTGCTTTGGTCTGCAGTGAAGTGTATAAAGACTGTTAGAACTTGAACATTATCTGTAGCCATCACCCGATCCCCAGTCACCCCTTCACCAAAGCCGCTTACCCAGACGGTAACAAATATTTATATTGAGGTTCAATACTCATAAGCTGCAAAATAGTCAAAGTGGCATAGAAAAGGATGAGTTGTATTGAAAAGTCTTTAGAGAAAGTAAAGCCCTTCATTCATAACCTCAACCAGTGTTTTGATATGAAATGAAGCGCTTCTTTGGAAGACACTCCAGCCACCTGCCCAGACTGGGGTGCTGAGCTCACCAAGGCTCACTGTAGTCAGCCTGTGAGCGACCCTGACATTGGGGCTGCATTAACATTATGATTGGAAAGCCAGATATACAGAGAGGAGAGACAGAGAGAGGAAGATCTTCTGGTCCGAAGACAGAACCAGATATACAGAGAGACCAGATATACAGAGAGGAGGAGAGACAGAGGAAGACTCACTCGGGGAGTGAGTTGGGAGTGCAACTCACTCCCCAAGTGAGTGCAACAACCAATGCAATGCTATGCCAAAGCCAGGAACTTCTTCCGGGCATCCCACACGGGTGCAGGGTCCTTTGGGCCAATCCTCCACTGTATTCCCAGGCCACAGGCAGAGAGCTGGATGGGAAGTGGAGCTGCCGGGATTAGAACCGGCGCCCATATAGGATCCCAGCGCGTTCAAGGCAAGGACTTTAGCCGCTAGGCCACGGCGCCGCCGGGCCCTTGCCTCCTGTTTTTGAAGGGAGTTAACGTATGTTTAGCTAGAGGGAGTTACAGGTGGTCCTTGGCTTAGAAGGGAGTTAACGTATGTTTAGCTAGAGGGAGTTACAGGTGGTCCTTGGCTTAGGATGGTTTGAGTTTCCTCAGGTTTGGATGATGGTGTTAGATTGTCTGGGCTTGCTGCCTTCCCTCCACTAGAGGGCAGTCATTTCCTCAGAATGTACAGTTGGAGTCGACACCTCTCTCTGCTAAATAGTTAGGTCTACAGGATCAGATCCCACCCCGACTTGAAAGTGAGCTGCTCCCCTGCCACCTAGGGCTGGAGGAAGAGCCACACCCTTTACTGTCCCTGCAGGGAAGACTGGCGTTTGGGACCCTGTTTCTGGCCACCATACCTCGTCCAGAGCCCACACCTGGCATGCTTTGGAGTCTTCCTGGGCGTTGGGTCACAGTGGCTTTTCATAGCCACCTGATCCCTCCAGGAAGCAGACATGAGCCACTGTTTTAGCGCAGCAGATTTGTGGGATGTTGGGGAAGCTGGGTTTTCTCAGACTGCCAGTCCCTGTCTCACTGAGGAGTACAGCCACCACGACAGGGCAACGGGAATCGAATTTGGCTCCGGCCTGAAGGGAATATACTGGCAGCTACTAAACCCAGAAAGAACAGGTGACTAGGAGACAAAGATAAGGTCAGGCAGTGTTCCACTGTATGAAATAAATGAGTTAAAGCATGCTGGCCTATTTACACATGGATGAAATTTTATTTTGAAATGTCAGAAGCAAGCTAAAACAACAAAAAAACCATTTTCTGTCTTCAGTAAGACTTGAGTGCCGTTTATGTACATGACTGAGTTTTATCCCAAACAGGTTACAAAAGAACAGTTAAACACACGTGTGTTTCCGGAGTGCTATTAATCTACACCGTTAGTATTGAACACGTACCATACAGAAGGCATTTGCTGGAGACGTGTGTAAAGAATGTGCAATGATGAATGTTTAAACACTATTTATAAAAGCCTTAAATTCTACTTGAGCAATTGGAATGATGTGAATCCCTTTAAAGAAGTTTCCAGTGCAAGTTGAAGTTGTACAAAGACCCGCTCTTGGAGGAGGCCGTCCGTGGCATGGTGCAGACGTACCTGACTGCGCAGGCGCCATCCACGTGCAAGTCTAATTTTACTCTGAATTAACTAAGTCGGTAGTCTATCTAAAGTAGAACCCTTCCTCCTAAGTCAAGTCATGAGATATGTGATAGGAGTTTACCCAAACTGTGGGGCTCGTTGCAAGCAGGCCATGCTAACCTACTTCTGCCAGGACTGCTGCTTCGCTTCTGTCATGGTGATGTCTGCATGAAAATGCAGACACATACTCCCCGCTGGCAGAAACTCTTGAGAAGCCTTTGCACAGGTTGGCTGGGGCCTAGGACCCTGCTAGACAGACAGCAGAGGAAAGCATGAGAACTGCTGGTGACAAATTGAGTTCAGATCCTCTGGACCCCCATCTTTGAACATCCCCTGTTTCTGCATAGTTAGAATTAACTCTTGTGGACTTCTAAGGAAGATACCGAGTCCTACCTGAGGTTAAGTTCTTAAACATGGTATTTAGCAGCTACATCAAAAGCTTCTAGGGATTCCTACTGGCCATGGTCACAGCAGTGCGGGCAATAAGAACAGAATGGAGCGCATGAAAACCACACACAGCCACAAGACCACAATTGTGTCAAAGAGGAGACCGTTCAAACCCTAGTTGGTCACTGTTTGACTATATCCTTAATCTGAAAGCGATAGTGGAAATAACCAAGCTCTCAACTTCCTCTGTCTTTTGAGGATAACACTTAAAAATGCTGACTGAGCTGTGGCTGGTCATTGATGCTCACGGGTTAATGGAAAAGTGGACATTCACTCACCGTCAGAGGAACACGTGGAGAACCAGGCAGAGAAGCTGGTTGGTTGTTCAGCTGCATGCCGACCAACGGTCTGCCTTAGCGCGGCGAGTGGCAGGGCAGCTGGACAACGGCGTGTCTTCGGATGTGAGACTTTTATGATGTGTTCTAGCACAAAACGTCTAACACGCATCCACAAAGACTTTGACTAGCAGTGGTAGCTTGCTGGTGGCTCAGGGAATGAAAGAACCAGCTAAATACTGCCACAGGGATGGACGAGACGAAACGTCAAGTCAACGGCCCCAGCCTCCTTAACAAGCTGAGGCCGTGGCAAAAAGAATCCAGGAACAGAGAACTGTGTTAGAGTACTTCCTGGGACAGTCGCAGCGTGAGCTCAGGGGAGAGAAGGGTTTGGACGGGCTGACTGCAAATGTGGGAACACTTGGGGAAATTTCAATATTGTATAGGGTAAATATGTCCTGGAATAAGAAAAATAGATTGTTGACCACAATTAATGGGTTCACAAAATGCTACACAGCTATGTCTTTGGTGAAAAATGTAGATCTGCACAGAAAAAGGTCTGGAAGGATGTGCATTCATGCATTCAGTCCCAGTTTTTCAAGCCTGTGGCTGTTTCAGTGATGTAACATAACCCGTATTTCAGGGTCACCATGAGTGGCATGCTGGCTGTCCGGCTGCAGCCTTTCTGGGTGTCCCGTATGTGCACAGCGGGACAGTAAGGGCTAGAGGGGCAACAGGACTGTCTGAGTGGGGGAAGTGTAATGCTTCTATTTTCCTATTGGTGCTTGTCCACTTTTCCAGACCGTCCACACTGCACTAAGCCGCTCCAGGCTCCCCGTCCCCTGCCTAGGGGTTATAATACCAAAGCAAGGAGCTAATCCCATCTGCTACTTGCTTTTAAGTGCATTTTTTTAAGTGCTTGGTGTACAAACACGACGCCAAAGAGTCACAGGATTGTCAGCACACGTCAAGGCAGGCAAGAGGCACAATGAAGCAAAGCACAAGGAGGACACATCTGGCTACATAGGCATCATTCACCCTTCAAATCAAACCTGGCCTACCCACTACTCACGCAGAAAAAGGAAGAGCCTAGCGCGTAGCGTGTGTAACTTAGGCTCCCGGGCCCAGGCTGGGCTCCTTGCCGGCTACGCCTCCGGAGTGCTGGGGGTGGCGTTGGGCTCCATATCCTCCTGGGGAGGCGCGGCCAGGGCTTCCTGTGCGGCCAGGGCTTCCCGGACCTGGCTGCTCAGGACCGCGTCGTGGATGCTGTAAAAGAGCAGCTCCCTCAGGGCGGGATTCTCGAAGAATCGGTTTTGAGTGAGGTCAGTCACGACTTGGGCTAGAACAGAAAGGGAAAGAGGGAAAACCAGTCAGCCCACTCGCTCTCACTTTGAAACAAAAGCCACAGCCTCACCGAGCTGAGTCAGGGAAACTGCCCTTGGCGTCTCACCCCAGTCCCACCTTTGTCGTGTCACATCCCCAATCTGAGGGACAACACAGGCGTTCTTCCAGAACTTCTCGAGGCAAATGTAAGTACATTTAAATATTATTTTCATCACTTGCGTGTCTCAGAAGGTTTCCAAAGAATTCACAGGAATTAAGAAAAACAAATTCTACTTGCATTTTGAAACACATTTGGCATCCAACAAAGAACTTAGCTTTCAATTCAATTTCCAACGAAACTTTTGAACTCCCCTTGAAGTTATTTTGTAATTATTCTACCTCTTATTTGTTGCATAAGCCATGCTATTGTATAGAGGTTCCTGTTTGTTTCAAAGATTTGACTTTTTGTTTTTAATTAGAAAAGTTAGATAGGGCCCAACGCCGTGGCCTAGCAGCTTAAGTCCTTGCCTTGAACGCGCTGGGATCCCATATGGGCACCGGTTCTAATCTTGGCAGCTCCACTTCCCATCCAGCTCCCTGCTTGTGGCCCGGGAAAGCAGTCGAGGACGGCCCAAAGCTTTGGGACCCTGCCCCCGTGTGGGAGACCCGGGAGAAGTTCCTGGATCCTGGCTTTGGATTGGCATAGCATCGGCCATTGCGCTCATTTGGGGAGTGAATCTTTGGACGGAAGATCTTCCTCTCTGTCGCTCCTCCTCTCTGTGTATCTGCCTTTCCCATAAAAAAAATCCTAAAAAAGTAGATAGAAGGAGAAATAGAAAGATCTTCTTTTGCAGGCCCACTCCAGGTGGCCACAACAGGTGGAGCTGAGCTAAACCAGAGCCAGAAGCCGCTTCCAGGTCTCCCATGGGCATGCAGGGTCATACGGGTTTGGGCCGTTCTCCCTTGCTTTCCCAGCCACAAGCAGGGAGCTGGATGGGAAGCGGGGCCGCCAGGATTAGAACTGGCGCCCATATGGGATCCAGGTGCGTGCAAGGCGAGGACTTTAGCCAGGCCCATGTCTTGTCTTTTTATGACGTGTTGTGATGACTGACTACATACGTGTGTGCTTTTGAATGTCCACAGCGTACGGTGGGTATTGCGGGGAAGGGGACAGCGTTGTTCCCTTCCAAGGAAAACACATTTGTTAATTTTGGAGGCTGATGCCGGTTGGCCATCTGTAGGGGGCGCTCCGTCCCGCGTTCTCCGCGGCCCTGCCTGACAGAAGCTGTCTCCCCTGGGCTGTTGCGCACTCAGGAAAGGAACCACTGGCAAACATTTCTGCCAGCAGGATAGGTGCAAAGTAATGAAAGAAAAAAAAAAGTGCCAGAGCTGGTCCTGGCGCCCACTCACCGCTGCAGCCTGCCAAGTAGACGTAGATGCCAACATCTCCGTACTCCTTCACGATCTGTAACAAGCAGCAGGTGCTTTAAGGTCCCCGGCCCGGGCTGCGTGACAGTCTACTAACAGGCGTGTGTATCTGAGTGACACGGACATTCTGGGGACTCATCCGCTTTGTAATAACCACACATCGTCGGCTAAAGTCAAAAAGAACTGTGTTTCTTCTGCTTTGAGCCAGGACAAGGGAGAAGTTGAGGGGGGTTACCAAAAAGGTTGCCATCTTCCAGCGGGGTGCGAAGGTGGCAGGGGTTACAGCAGGACCTGCCTCCCTCCAAAACGCCTCGGAGAAGTGGGGACCGGACGCCCTCATGATGATGGCTGATGGGGTAAGTAAAAGGCAGAGGCTCATGCTGGCATCCGGGAGGCAGGCAGGGCTGCTGCTGGCTGTGCCCTCGGAGGGTGGGCACTGATGGTCTGAGCGTAAGCTCTGCTCATGGTTCTGTCTCTACTTTCACGCCCGCCATGTGTTCCCCCATCTGCCACCATGAGCTGCTGCGCGACCACCCAGAGGTGGGGCTGCCTCTTCCTGCGCGCTCTGCTCGCAGGCAGGAGCTCAAAGAAGCCTTTTCCTTCTGGGGAAAATATCCCGAGCTGCAGAGTGATACACAGAAGCTCTGTGGTCCCTCTGTCTTAGCGCATCATTTATAGATGGATCCCAGGGCACCTAAGACGGGATGACAGAGCTGGGCTTCTGAATGGGACAAGGACGGGGGTGGGGGCAGCAGAGAGACCACACTTGCCACATCGTTGAAGCTCACCGACCCCTCTATAAGGATCCCTCCCCCTTAGCTGGCCACTGTGGTACATTTTAGAGATTCTCCATAATGGAAGAGCCAAGAACAGTGACAAGGAAGGGGGGGAAGTGGACAAGGCAGGCTCGTTGGTTGGGCCGGGGTCGGGCACCGGGACCTTGGCGGCACGCTCGCGGGTGGCTTACCCCCGCCAGGGTCTTCACGCCCACGGAGTCGATGAAGTTGACCTGCGTGAAGTCCAGGATGATGGTGTGGACGTTGTCGCGCGGGGGCATGAAGCGCTGCAGCTCCTCCGGGAACGTGCTCTTGACCACGATGGGAGGGAATTTCACCTCGCCGTCGTCCTCGTCGGGCTTGGCGGCATTTTCCCCGTCAACTTCTGCGTCCTGGGCCATGGTTGGACACAAGCAAAGCTCCAGCAGCAGTTTACATTAGGGGGTGTTGCGAAAAAAAGCACCACTTCACAGCGGAAAAGCTGGTCTGAAGCCAGGAGCTTCTGCTGGGTCTTCCTCATGAATACAGGGGCCCATGGACCTTGGGCATCTTCCACTGCTTTCCCAGGCCATAAGCAGGGCGCAGGATGGAAGTGGAGCAGCCAGGACTCGAACCAGTGCCCATGTGGGATGCCAGTGCCACAGGCAAAGGATTAACTTGCTTTACCATTTGTGCTTGGCTCAAAATCTTTGTTCTGATGACAACATTCATGAAGGGATGGTATAATTTTGCAAGACTTTTTTAAAAAAATTATTTGAAATGTAGAGCGACAGAATGACAGAGTGATATGAAGTGGGGGGCACTCTGGTATTGGATTTGATTTTCCCTAGTGGTAGTTTAATTAACCACATTTTAATTTTTTTTAAAGCAACAATTTTTACTCCTCTCCATACCATCCTCTTAATTGACCTCATCAGGTGCATTTGTTATTAAAGTGTACTTGGGTGGACCATCTCTAACTTTTTCTGGCTCAGGCACTTCACTCTGTGTTTAATTCTGGACTAATAAAAGGACAACAGCAGGGCCCAGCGCGGTAGCCTAGCAGCTAAAGTCCTCGCCTTGTACATGCCGGGATCCCATATGGATGCTGGTTCGTGTCCTGGCAGCCCTGCTTCCCATCCAGCTCCCTGCCTGTGGCCTGGGAAAGCAGTCGAGGACGGCCCAAAGCCTTGGGACCCTGCACCCGTGTGGGAGACCCGGAAGAGGCTCCTGACTCTTGGAAGATCTTCCTGTCCTCCTCTCTATATATCTGACTTTCCAATATAAATAAATAAATAAATAAATAAATAAATAAATAAATAAATAAATCTTAAAAGAAAAACAAAAAGGACGATGGCCATGAGAAGGCCACTCACCGGTTTGACCATGATGGCGCTGGCCATGTTCACATTTCCGACTTCCTTCGCGTACTTGCGCATGGCCTTCCTCCTGGCGCCCATGATGACCGCTGGGTCCACGCCGGTCTTCCCACAGGGGCAGACAGACAGACACCAAGTCACTGCACAGCCCCCGGAGGCTGACCCACATGCCATTCCATCTGGAGCTTTGCCTCCAAGCTGCTGTCCATGCCACTTGCTCTGCCTCCCCCTCCGATGTCTTGAGCTCAGTCACACACACACACGCTCAGCAGAAAAAACCAAGAGTGGCATGCGTGGCAGTGAACCATGCACTGCTTTCTCGACGTGGGCTCAACAGCGATAACGTCTGGTGCTACTGCGCCTGGTCTGGGGCAGCACCAGGGTCTGGGAACTGAACTCAGGTCTCACACGGTGCGAGGGACCCAAGGACCTGAGCTGTCCTTGGCTGCTTTTCCAGGTGCCTGAGCAGGGGGCTGAAGTGGCACAGCTCCTCCAGCCGTTGTGGTCACTTGGGGAGTGAATCATCAGACAGAAGATCGTCCTCACTGTCTCTCCTCCTCTCTGTGTATCTGCCTTTCCAATAAAAAAAAAAAAAATACATTTAAAAAAAAAAAGTTTATGGGAAGGGGAGCTAAAAGAAGAATTTTCTTTGGTGCAAAAAAAATATCCAATTACCTAAGCAAGTCTTCAGGAAGTTAAAGGGAAATTTATATTGTGAGATTTGTATCATGTTCAAATTTTGATAATTTTGGCCCCAGAACATACTTCTGTTTTCATTCCATTTTTGGTCTTGTAAGAGAGGGGAGTGGTAATGACGGTGTCACATCACGTGGATACAGTTTGTGTTACTCTTTGGGGTTTGCATTTGAAAATGTTTAAAACAGAGACATTCAACAATTATGTGTATTTTATCATAAGAGAAAAGGTGAGGGAGCGGGGCCGGGAACGGCAGGAGGGAAAAGCCCAGCGAGAATGAGAGAGGGTGAACAGAGACAAGGTCCCCACATTCTGATCAGGCCAAATCCCGGCGCTGGAATCACACACACACACACACACACACACACACACACATGCGCGCGTGCGTGACTCACCTTTCTCTTTAGCGCGTTGCTATACAAGTCGCTGTTGGCGTAGTAAATTGGGGCGTTTATTTGGAAGATTTTTATTCCGGGAATTTCTTTGATCTGAGGAGTGAAAGCATAGGTGTCACCTTAACGCCCGGCCATCTTTCAGACTCAGAGCTGCCGTGGGCTCCCCCTTCTTGCGGTTTGAAAGCGCATGCTAAGTAGTTCTGGGCTGTGTTGGGCAGAGAGATCACTGTGCAGGAAACTTTGAAAAACTGGGCCATCATGCGCCAGGAAACACAGAAGGAAGAGAAAAACACGAGGGTGCTTCCAACTCCTGTTTGAATCCCACTTTGTCCACGAGGTGCTTGAAGCACGCTTGTATTCCACCAGGGGAAGGAAAGGGTTGGGGGATTGGGAAGCCTGTTGGTCAAGGTCAAGGTGACAGAGCCACAGCCGCACTGGCTCACAGGCTGCAGGGAGGAGTCTGGCAAGGAACAGGTGCACCGAGCTCCCAGGGCGCAGTGTGGGAACCAGTGACCCAGCACCTCGTCCTTTGCACTGACAAAAGAGCAATGACAAACTGGTGAGAGGAACCCTGGCAAGGCCCTCCACAGCACTCGGCAGAACAAATGGGAACAAAGGATCGCTCTGAAAGGTTTTGTTTGCGACAGTCTTCGAGAGTCCACAGAAGTGAACATCCAGAGCTGTGGCAACAGGGAGGCGCTGCTCAACTAGGACCAAACAGAACGCAGGGACAGCGGCACTGTCCCACCACTCACAGTTCCACTGGGTTGGGACTTGTCAGAAAGCCATGCACATGCACGCCACATCTCAGCCTTTGCAGATCTCTCTTTTAATTCTATGCTGTGTGTGTGATTTTCCACCCATTTATAAATGGGGGGAAAAAAACAACATTGGGAGGTTGGGTTGGGCATGCACCATGACGCAGAACACTCAATCCTGGCGGGCAGTGGAAGCTCCCACTTTGCGCTTTGAGCACTAACTCCGTGTAAACGCGCAGCTCGGCCAACCACACACCACACGCTTACCGCCTCTTTAAGCCACCAAGGAAGGTCCTACCTCCTCAAACGCGTCTATGTCAATATACACGTCAGTTTCGGGAAGTTGTCCAAGGACTTTGTAGCTCGGACTGGAGACAGAGAGAGCGTTAAGCCACCCCTGCGGCATGGCACCGCATGTGATTTAGGTGTGGCAGCTTAGCAAGCCTAATATGTCACGCGTGGGTTCCCTGGCGGGCAGGAAACACTAGATCCTCGTCTGGGGCCTGTATAGAGGACGCCCTCGCCCCACGCACATGCCCAGTGCATCATATCACTGCCGGGAAGTTTGGTGGGATGCAGCGCAGCGCACGCAGGGATGCTGGGATCCCTCTGGCTGTGGAGCTGACTTCCACAGGTGCGGCTTATACCATGCAGAGGACGGATGGGTCCCCCTGGCCACGTCCAAGGCCTTGAGACCCCCATTTCTTCAAGAACAAACATCACTGCTCCCAGAAAAGGCTCAGTCCTTGTAAGTTCCTTAATGACATCAGGGACAAGAAAACCCCCTTTTGTGGAATCCCATAGGCTTTTCTTGGGGGCGTCTGCCATGTGCATCATCCACAGGCTGGCGCACCCCTCAGGGTGTAATCTGGATTACAAAATGCTGGTGGGGGCACAGGCTAATGTCCGTCACGTTCCTGGCACCCACGAGCTCTTTGCCAAAGCGGAGTGCTCGTCTCCACACTCATCATGTTCTAACGGGAGCTGAGCATCTGCAGTGGAAGCTCAGAGCCAAGGCCCCAGCACCCAGCTCCGCAAGGTGCCCTGCTTTCAGCTGGAGGAGCCAGTGGCACGGGAACAAGTGTCCAAGAGCTGGAGTTCCAAGACCCGGCCGAACGGCCAACAGAAAACAGAACCCCAAACACTCACCAGTTGTTGCTAACTGCTCGAGGGAGAAAGACACAGCATTTAAAAGCAAAAACTATGTCCAACTTCAAAATTTGTGATCTGAAACCATAAAACTATTCAGTAAAGAAAACAGAGGAATTTTATTATTTTTTTTTAAGATCTATGTATTTATTTAGCACCAGCCTTTGTGGATGGAAGCTCGCTGTCTCAACTCCTTCAAATTAATAAATCAATCTTTTTAAAAAATTATATGCACCAATGCTGTTGTTTCCCAGGGTACCCGGGGTAGTGAGCTTGGTCAGAAGTCAGACATGGGACCGCAGCCCTCCGACACGCCCAGGCTTCCGCATCATCTTCCTTTGAAAGATTTATTTCTTTGGATTGGAAAGGCAGATTTACAGAAAGAAGGGGAGACAGAGGGAGAAAGATCTTCCATCCGCTGATTCACTCCCCAAGTGGCTGCAATGTCCAGAGCTGAGCTGATCTGAAGCCAGCAGGCAGCAGCCTCTTCTGAGTCTCCCACGTGGGTGCAGGGCCTCAACACTTTGGAACATTTTCGACTGCTTTCCCGGGCCACAAGTAGGGAGCTGGATGAGAAGTAGAGCAGCCGGGATATGAACCAGTGCCCATATGGGATCCTGGCACATGCCAAGGTGAGGACTTTAGCCTCTAGGCTGCTGCGCCAGGCCCATGCCTGGGCTTCTTAACTGTGTCATCCTGTTAGGCTTAATATCCACTGCGGATATGTAGAAATCATATTGACTTCTCTGTACTAAATTGGGGAAAACTCCTCTCGGGGACCCAAGGGCAGCAATGTCCGACCTTGGGATAAAAGTCACTTCTTATTCTGAGTTTAGAACCATGTATCTTCTCAACGCTTTTCTGTCCTTTTTGGAGATGAAAACACCCATTTTCTCTCTGGGGGAGCAACTCCAATTCCAACCCAGCTCCTTGCTGGTGCCCTTGGCAAAGCAGCAGATGAGGCCCATGTGCCTGGGCCCCTGACACGTCTGTGGGAGACCAAGATGGAGTTCCAGGCTCCTGGCGCAGCCCTGGTGCAGCCCTGGCACAGCCCTGACCCAGCCCTGGCACAGCCCTGGTGCAGCCCTGGCACAGCCCTGACCCAGCCCTGGCGCAGCCCTGACGCAGCCCTGGCGCAGCCCTGGTGCAGCCCTGGCGCAGCCCTGACCCAGCCCTGGCTCAGCGCTGGCTCTTTAGGGAAACGAATCACCAAATGAGAAGATTTCTGTTTCTCCCTTACGCTGTCATTCTACCTTTCAAATAAATACACAGATTATTTAAAAAATCTTGTCTTGTTCTATGAAATGTTTTCTTTTTATCTTAATGGCAATTTTTTTTGGTCCTAAACAGTATTTTTAGTTGTTCATGCCTGGCACAATGGCTCAATAGCTAAATTCTCACTTTGCAAGCGCTGGGATCTCATCTAGGTGCTGGTTTGTGTCCTGGCTGCTCCAGTTCCCATGCAGCTCCCTGCTGATGGCCTGGGAAAGCAGGAGAGGATGGTCCAAAGCCTTGGGTCCCTGCACCTGCTTGGGAGCTCTGGGTACTGGCTTTGGATTGGCTCAACTCTGGCCATTGCAGTTATTTTGGGAGTGACCCAGTAGATTGAAGATCTTTGTGTCTCTCTCTCTCTCTCTGTAAATCTGCCTTTCCAATCAAAACAAATCAATCTTTGGGCTCAGCATCAGACAAAACCACACTGGCACCTGGTGCCCCAGCAAAGAGGTAGAAACGAAACCAGCATCCCAGTGGGCACATAACAATGGTGCTGGGAACTAGGTTCTCCTAATCTCTGAGGAAGAGCCAACTGTGACCAAGGAGAGCAGCCGGGTATCCATTGGGCACTCTGTTCGGTGGACGGGCCCCAAGAGTGGTAGGGCACCATGTCATGCTAACCAGGACCCCCCCAAGGGGCTCCGCTCTGGCCCGCTCCAGCCGCGTCCTCTCGGCCACGCCCCACTCACCTCTGGGTTCTGTAGATCACGGTCAGCAGGGCGATGATGACGGCAGTGATGAGACCGTAGTCCAAGCCCAGGAACAAGGAGGACACGAAGGTGGTGAGCCAGATGGTCTAGAAACACACAGAAAGGCCACGGAGGATCAGGACGGAAAATTCTAGAAGGGAGGGGGGCGGGTGGGCATTTGGCCTAGAGGGATGCAATGCCTAGGTCCCAGGCTCCTGACTTATAGCTGCAAGGCAGCTGGCAGTTGGCTCAGGTGAGTGGATTCCGACACCCACGTGGGAGACCTGGACTGAGTTTCCGGTTCCCGGCTTTGGTCTTGGCCCAGCCCTGGATATCGTGAGCATGTGGGGAGTGAGTCAGTGGCTAGGAGCTCTTCTCTCAAAAAACAAACACAAACCTGTCAGAATTAAGCACATGCACACATGCACATGATACTGACGTAGTTTACCTGGGTACTGCACGTAACAATGCCAGTGACCCCCCCCTTTTAGGGGTACCAAGCACATTTGCTGCTGCAGTGCGTTAACCTCGTGGTCGTCTTTGGGACTCACCAGCTCTATCTTGCTGGTCCTCCAGAAGAACGGGAGGTCCGTGAACTGCATGAACATTCCCTTCAGGTTGACTATGACAATGGCCGAGAGCACAGCCTGCAACACACACACACACACACACACACGTGCGTGGGGTCAGGCGCCTCCTCTCACACGGCCGGGGTCCCCTCTGCTGGCTCCATGTTGTCCTTCCCACACCTCCTCCCCGCCCACTTGCTACCCACCTTCCATGCTACCCAGCAGCCACGAACACCCGGCTTTCCAGGATGGGCCCGGGAAAGGCAGGCTCATCTAATAGCAAGCCTTGCGTGGAGGCCAAGAGGTTCGGAGCTTCCCCAACTACTCCAGGGACAACCGCTTCAGACTGTTCCTACGTGGCCGTTCGTTTTCTCTGACATTGTTCCTGGTCTCTGTTAGATTAACTGCAAGTATCTGCGGAACGGAGGCCGTCTCAGATTTTTAATGAAAGCACGTAATCATAGAAGGTCAAGGAGAGACCTGAGAGGTCAGCCAGTCCAAAGCCAGTCCCCAGAGGTAAAGCAGCAGATCCAGGGGAGCAAGTATGCATTGCCAAGGTCAGAGGAGCAGGTGTTGGTCAATTAGGAAGCACCATGATGCTTCCAGCCTTCGGCCCTTTCTCCTGTCGCCTTGGCTGCAGTTATTGTTCAACATTCCCTAAGACAGCCTCAAATCATAGGCAAACAGAAGTGCAAGATTCCTCCCTGCAGACAGACCCCCACGCCGAGTCCACGCTACACACCTGTGGCAAAGATTCAAACAGGAATCCCGTGGCTAGGATAACCAGCAGAATCATCAACGAGGCTAAGCAACCTGCGAGCTGGAGGAAAAGACACAAGGGAGGGATTTCAATGGCCTTGAGCGGCACAGGTTGTGGAAAATCAAGAAAATACAGATTCCAGGGCCGGCGTGGTGGTATAGCAAGCTAATCCTCTACCAGCAAGTGTCGGCATCCCATAGGGGTGCTGGTTCATACCCTGGCTGCTCCAATTCTGAATCTTTCCTTAACTATAGCCTGGGAAAGCAGTGGAGAATGGCCCAAGACTTCGGGACCCCGAATCCATGTGGGAGACCAGGAGGAACCTCAGCTCTGGCCATTGTGATTGAGGAGTGAACTAGTGGATGGAAGATTTTATCTTTCCTTGTAAAAAAAATTTGCCTTTCAAATAAAAAATAAAGATATCTTAAAAAATAAAGATGCAGATTTAAACAAAGTGTCCAACTTAATGACAATGCCTGTAGCCTCTAGCTGCAGGCACGGTAGCTTGGCGTGGGTACCTAACAGAACCAGGAGACCCCGAGTCGCTGCCTGGGTCGCCCACGTTCAGGGGCCCACGGTATACACACCTGTGTCTTCCCTCCGGTCCCCTCCTGCACAAGGCTCCGGGACAGGGAACAGGAAATTGAGAAGGTCTGGAAGAGCGAGCCGATGGAGTTGCACAGTCCCAGGGCGATGAGCTCCTGACCGTGAGGAGACAAACACAAATGGAAAGAGGTATGTGCGAGTCCACTGACCGCCCCTGGTCCTTGGCATCGCTGGGCCCTCATTCTCATTTCAGTGTAAGCATGAGTTCCAAACAGGAAGTAAGGGCATATTGTTGAGGGTGGTGGGAAAGAAACACGCCGAATTCTTATTGTGTCAGTGATCCGTGCTGGGCTCCCCAGCGTGCTCTCTGTGCACATAATGCTTCGCTTCTTGAAGGATAATCCCAAAGGGAGAACATCTTTCGATTATCTGGGAGGAAACTCTTGCTGTCCGGGGCTTCTCTCTGATGCCTGGGTCAGCACTCATGGATGGGCACTGGCCCAGTGACTCCTGTTCCTGACGTCACTTTGGGCTACGTTTAGTTGGCCCGCTGCAGGTGGAGCACGTGGTCTTCCCTTAGAAATGCCCAGGGCACGGTCATGTCAGGTTCCTGCTCGTGGGGGTTGGATTCAGCAGCTTACCTGTGCCTTTGTAAAATCAGTGAGGGCACTAAGAAACTAGAGCAGATGTCAGCTGTGAGCCAGAGGCCCAAAGGCTTGAGGGGCAAGGGTAAGCCTTGCATGGAGTGGAAAAAAAAAAGAATTCTAGGAAGAGGTTTTCCTTCAAAGTTATGTTTCTTTTTCTTTTCTTTTTTTTTTTCTCCTTTTCTCCCACCTTCTTCCCTCCCTTTCTCCCCTCCTTCCTCTCTTCCTTCTTTCTTTTTTAAGTGGGGAGAGGCATTAGCACTGTGGTACAGCATGTTAGCTACTGCTTGTAATACAGGCATCCCACGTCTCAGAGTTCTTGTTCCAGTCCTGGCTCTCCCACGTTCGACCCAGTTCCCTGTCAAAATGTACTTGGGAAAGCAGTGGATGGTGGCCCCAAGTACTTGGGCCCCGTCCCCCAGGTGGGACCCCCAGATGAAATTCCTTGCTTGTGGCTTTATGCCATAATGCCCATCAACAACAGAAAAACATTTTGGCGTTGAATAAACACACGTCCCAAACTGTCCCATCGTCAAAGTTAGTCTTTTCCTCCCAAGATGGATACGTTTCATCCCTGTACCTTCCAGGATGCCATCCCACGATAAACAGCTGCAGGAGACCAGTGGTTCTTACCTGGTTGCCATCCACCTGGTAGCCATGTTTATTTGCCAAGGTCTTGGCCATGGAGATGGTCACTGAGAAGCCAACGATGGCTATGGCAATGGCGTCCACATACACAAGGTGGAAGAGGCTCGTGTCTGGGTTGGCTGGAGGCAGCAGCCTGGAAAAACAAAATGGCTTTAGCTCAAGTGTTCTGACTAGAAGAGAAGAAAGGGCCAAGATGGAGGTTGGGGTGTGCGTGTGTGTGTGCGTGCGTGTGTGTGTGCGTGTGTGTGTGTGTGGCGGGGTGCATTTCCGAGGGAGCACCCTCTGCTAAGGGGGTGACTGCCTGACAACAGAGGGGTTGTCTGTAGACCCTGAAGGGTTTATCCGCAGAGATCTGGTACCGTCCTATTTACCCAGGGGGTAACCTCACACCTCAGGCCCCAGGCACGGGTGTAAGTAAGCCCCAGGACTGTGAAGGGGAGAGTGTCCGAGGAGGGCTCGGATGCCACGAGCTATCTGAACCAAGGTGCTGGGATGAGGAGGTTATCGGGCCATGGCTGCCTCAGAGGCACATTGATGTCCTTGAGAGGTACCCCGCTTTCTACCTGATGGGACAACTCCAAGCCCAGCACCCACTCCCCAGGTTGTTACCCCTTCAAATGAGTTTTTCATGTGGGAGAGCAGCTGCGCAAGACTGCACTCCCCGGGCACTCTGGGAATCTCAGGCAGCCAAGAGTGGGACTCCCAGAATCCGACAATGGGAGCCCCACCCCAGCTCTCACGAGCCATCCTCACAGTTGTTAGGACTCTTGTCCTAAAGGAGCAGAACAAGGGTGCCCTAGAATGTTCTCGGGGAAGGGGCCATTGGAGGTTTTACAAGGACCCTACTCCCATGCAAACCTCTTGGGCTAACCAGCAACAGTCACCACACTGATGGATGATCAGAACTGTAACAGTAAAAGCCATCTGTCGGGCTCCTTCTCCGTGCTGGGTTCTGTGCTCACTTAATTTTTTTCCAATATCTCTGGGAACAAGCATACCCGTATAAATTCCTCTTTCCTACCAAGGAATGATGAAGTAAGGCAACCAGAGCGACATCAACAGTTCACCTGCTAAGTACAAGAAAAATCACAAGTAACCTGTATTTCTTCCCTTATTTTTCCTCATCATTTGGCCACCGCAAAGTGGCAGAGGGATGTTTGAAATTTTGGGGGCCAGGAAAGAAAACGGAAAGAAACCTTCTATGTGCTAAGGGCCCCTTGGACTCTATATGCTTTAAACAAACCGTCTCATATCCCCTTACAACAGAGCTATTAGAAGGTCCCTTCTTATCCTGATTTCTATGTGGGGAAAAACTGGATGATAGCAGACTTTTAACTGATTTTTTTTCTCCCCAAGAGAGAGGAGAAAGTTAAGCCCAGAGGGATCTGACCATAAAATATGTTTGGTTTTTAGAGAAGACTCAGCAGCTGGTTTGGGCTTGAAGGATATGAATATAAGAAAAAGATGTATTTTGCAACAAGTTCTGAGAAGTAAATACAAAATTAGGACACATGGCCATCACTGAGTCTTTGTCAGTTGGTTTTTTCTGGGCAACGCGAGGCTATACAATTATTCTCCTCCAAGGTCAGGGTGGTAGTTTGGTTTCGAGCCTGGCCACCTGTCACTCTTTGCACGATTCTGTTGCATGCTGCTTCTCCCATCCACATCTGGAACCTCCTTCCTCTGGGGCTGCCGCGAGTCTGGCAATGTGATTTGCTCTGACCAACAAAATGGGGTGAAGATGATACTGCACAAAATCTGTGAGACCTGGGCCAAGTCCCTGCTCGTCTCGCTGCCCTGAGTAGCGCGTCTGGCAGAGTCTGATGCCTGCCGGAGACGCCATGCGGACAGCAGGTGGCGGGCGGCCTGCCCTGTTCCTTCCACTCTGACCGAGTTCTGTCCGACAGGAGGATGAGGTCCTCCTCTTGGATCCTCCAGCCCCAGACACGTGCCGTCCCCCCGAGTGAGCACGCAAAACCAGCTGAGCTCAACCAAGACGGACAAGTCGGAGTCCATTAGCGGCTGTTGTTTTAAGTCACTAGTTTGAGGTGGTTTGTTACTCAATGATAAAACCCACAGATGACTAAAATGGTATGAATACAAGTATTAGGTGTGCATTTACTACCTGCTTGGTTTTGAGAGTATTTCAGAAAGATAAGGTTTCTAAGACAAGTTCTCTCTCTTTTCTAAAATTTAGCCCTCACATATGGAAAGAAAACAATATCTTTGTGTATACAATAGGGAAAAGGTGGCACTAAGTAGAAATTATGATGAAATATGGATTTTATACTATCATATTTTATAGTTATAGAATAGTTATAATTTAGCTATAATTTTATAGTTATTCCTTATTGAAAGAGAAAGGAATTTTACACACTTCATATACAAGATTTTAAGCCCGCAATGATACCTCCTACCCTGGCTCTCCCCCTCCCTCTTCTTCCGATTTTTCTGCTAACACGTTTTCAGTGGACTTGATCACAGCAGGCTTAAACCTTCACTAGGTAAAGAATTCAGCGAGTAGCCTGCAGAAAGACCCCTGTCCCCTGGGTGTACAGATAGCGGCTATTGCAACAATCGAATCTTAAGGCATCAACTGCGCTCACGTAACATTTTTGAGTAAATCTACACATTACTTATCACAGCATTTAGGTATTCAGCACATCCTTTGTAACTTAGCAACTAAGTAGGACCAGCCACTGGATCCAGTCAAAGGCTGGCGCGCTGATCACGTGACCGTGTTGAGTCCCAGGTGTGAGCTAATGGAAAGACTGCGCAAGGGCGATTCGAGGTCCAGGCTGGGACTCGCTAACCCTGCTTCCTACTGCTCAGGTATCACCTGCCTGACATTCTACCTAGAAGAGCAACCCCATCCCTCCGATCCCTTACCCGGCTTCACTTCTGTGTGTGTGTGTTCTTAGCACTGCTCAGTGTTTCTTGGTTGACTGTCTCCACCAGAGAAACAAAACGCGCGTGGGGGTCAGGACATTTTCCCTTGCGTGACTGTTGTATGCCTAGGCCACAGCGGGGGCTCAAGGCACACTTGCTGAATCAATGAGAATTAAAAAAAAAATTTGTAACATGGAGACAATAAGGAACCGTGTCAATACGGTTTAAGACAATGGACATAAAAGTGTAAGTCCAACTAGGAAAGCAATATACACGGTTGTGTTAAAACCTTTCATTGAGTCATTGCAAATGACATGTTCGTGATATTAATTCATTGTTTTGTGGCTCAGTATAGGGTACACTTTCTCTTCTAGTACTTTGTCCACTGGCTGAATTTTGGCTTACGGTGCAAACTCTGCTCTCCCTGCCTCCTGGGTGGGACTGGATGGAGCCGGAGGACGAGACCTGGTGGAACACGGGGAGGTCGGCCCATGTTCAACATCAGGGCAAACCGGCGACTGTATTCTTCCGGGTGAGAGAGAAGGTGATGAGAGAAACGGAGGGGGGGGAGGAAGAACGAGGCATAGAGAGAGATACACAGAGACAGGCAGGAAGGCAACCAGAGAGTAAGCGGGGAAAGACGAGCCGTGGCAGCCACTCTTATTCCCTTAAAACAACAACGAAATTTAAAAACACCAAGTTCGGTAACATAGTCGAGGCCCATGGGCTAAAGTTTCCGTTCCCATGCCTACGTGGCAGGGGAAACTACAGCTTGCAAAGGGCAATGACATGTCCAGGGTCACATGGCTAGGAAGTGGCAGACGACAATTTAGGTCTTTCTGTGCTTTGTTCTTATGCCACGCAAGCACAGGTTTTTTTTAAAAAAAAAACCAGTCAGTTTAGAAAAATAAAAGGAAACCAACCACCACCACTAAAACAGAAATCACCTACAAAATGCTACAGAAAATAGTATAGAGCTTCCTGGAAAAGTTAAAAACAGAAACAGAGCTATCAAATGACCCAGCCACTCCACAACTGGGCATGACCAACCCCCGTGCCTGGGAGCAGGGTTTCAAAGGCTTTCGCACACCCATGTCTATGGCAGCCTTATTCCTAACAGCCAAGGGGTGGGGGTCACCCACGTGCCTACGGACAGGCAGACGGAGAGAGGCTGGATGGCCCCCCCACCTGCAATGGAGCAGTAGGCACCTTCAGAAGCAAGAAAACATACGCTAAACACACACAAAATCTTGACAACACTGTGTTGAGTGAAATAAGCCAATTACTGCGTGGTTTCATTCCCACGAGACACCCTTCAGCAGGTCAATTCATTACAGAGGCATGCCCAGCAGTGAGCAGGGGCAGGTGGTGGGGAGAGCAGGAAGTGTTGAAGGGGCGTAGAACTTGAGCTTTGCAAGGTCAGAGTTATGGAGAGCTGTTTGACACGCATGGGAATATACTTAGCATTGCTTGCTTGCACACGTACAAATGGTTACGATGGAAGGTTTTAGTTTAGATGGCAATACGCATCCTTGCCCTCCAAGGCCGTCGCAAGGACACGAACACGGGAGCTGGAAACCACAGATCTGATGATTCAACCACACGCTGTTACTCAAGCGCCTACCCCAGAGGGAGTGTTCCAACGACGTCCACGTTGTACGATTCTTTCAAGTTAAACCCAGCTGAAATACCCGTCCCCATGACTACCTGCAACAGACACAAGTTCAAGAGCGCCTTGAGGAAGGAAAGACTTAAGCCAAACATGAGCTTCCGAGATTTGGGGAGGGGAGTCCAGCAGACTGAACCCCAAGACTGACTGGGAGCTGCCAACAAGCCTCGCTTGTCTTAATGGTCTACCCCACACAAGGGACTTTGCAGTTTCCTGGTGGCCTGGACTCGCTCCCCGTTTACTTCGTCTCTGCTTCCTTGCTGAAGTGTTCGACAGGTGGAGTGTAACACGTAGGGACCCCAAACTTCTCAGGGCTTGATTTTGCCTTTGAGGAAGGTGAAAGGAGTCTTTGGCTGAGCTATGAGGAATAAATCATCTCAGGGACTGGCACTGTGGCGCAGCACGCCGGGGGGGGGGGGGCTCTGTCTGTGAGGTCGGCATCCCACATGGGCGCTGCAGGTTTGAGTCCCAGCTGCTCCATTTCCCACCCAGTTCCCTGCTTATGGCCTGGGAAAGCAGCAGAGGATGGCCTGCACCCACACGGGACCCCCAAGAAGCTCATGGATCCCGGCTTCAGACTGGCTCAGCTCCAGCCATTGCGGCCATTTGGTGAGCAAACCAGCAGATGGAAGATTCTCTCTCTGTAAATCTGCCTTTCAAACAAAAGTAAAATTTTAAGGAAAAAAAAACAGACTCATATTTGGTCTCCATGTAGATTTCAAAAATCTTTGTGTTCAGAATTTTGTCAGTAAATTGTTAAAACTTCCCTTTGACCGTTAGTCATTTCGCTCCGTTTGTCTTTCATCCATGCCAAACACTCGCAATATGAAAGAACAAAAGGTGTGTGTGTGTGTGTGCGTGTGTGTGCGTGTGTGTGTGACCACAGGCGCTGACCCAGTGAGGGCCTCCTGATCACTTACCGCAAAGAACTCTAAAGGGATGGGCGCCGGCATTTTCTCTTTAAATCTCTCATTGAACTCCTTGCCACCCAACAGCAAACCAAAAACCATGAGACCGACGCCTAGGGAACACACGTTGAGGTTTTTAATATTCTGCAACACAGCAACTGTACTCTGCAACACAGTGAACGCTGCGTGTTTACATCGGGAACAGCCATTGGAGCACACAGAGACAGAGCGCCCTCATGCGGCCGGCCACCCAGCCCACAGCGCCACCCACCCAGCCACCCACCCACCCGGTGCCAGGATGCTGCTGAGATGCCTGGTTCTCAGGCTGGCCTGGCTCTCCTTAGGGAGGGCACTGCCACCCTCACTCCCATCAGGCAACTCGCCAGGGGAGTGTTTTTTTCAAAGAGGCGCCATGTCTCAGTGTGGTGTTCTACAAAACTGAGAAAAGTCATACTGGGTTATCTTGAGTAACAAGCATCAGGAAAAGATTCAGCAGTTTACAGGAGAGAGAGAGAGAGAGAGAGAGAGAGAGAAAAGAAGGCAGAATCACGTGTGAATGAAACGCGACTCGAAGGTTCACTGCTTCTCTGGGATGTTGATTTGGGGGAATGGGCAGGAAGATGAGACAGGAACAGCTGAGTCAGAAGATTTTTCTCCCCATTTCCACCAGCCCTGCAATAACGCTACCCCTAACCTATCGTTCCAGAACACTCCGTTTCCCATGCTGCACCTGGGTCTCATTTGGGACTAGGAAGGAGGAGATGCCGGGATGACCATACGGAAGTGAAATATTCTGAAACTTCCGGAAACCCCTGTGTACACACATCAATTTCACCCCAACTACACTCCATTTGTTTGTTCAATTAGGGCACCACCTCCTATCCCATAAAAGTGGTGGTGTCCTGTGGAAATGAACTTTCCCCTTTTTTCCCCCTTCTTTTGGTTTCTGGCTGCTTCCAATGCACTCTCCTCATGGGCCCTTCACGAGGGGGAGCCCTCTGCGTGGGGCAGCTCTCTTTGTTGTCCGTGCACCTGCGTGCTACCTTGAATGTCTCTCCTTTGATTTTTTTTTGTTTTTAATCTCAGTGGGGGCAGGGACTTGGAATCCAAGTAGAGACTTGTGGCCCTGACAACACGCTGCTCGGAAAGCCTCGTTATGGTGGACTCTTCTCTCTTGGAGGGAAATTCTTGGTGGGCTGGGGCGGAGGGGGGGGGGGGAAGAAGGAAAAAAGGGCAAACGAGACTCGAAGGGAAATGAAACCCACGAGAGAGAGAAAGAACGAGAAAGGCCAAGCCGGCAGCGGCGAGTGTGGGAGGCATTTACTTACATACACCACCGAGAAGATCCCGCTGTACCGCTTGGTTTTCACTCCAAAGAGGTATTTCAGCATGGAGGTGAACACGTGCACAGCGGCCGCGGTGGTGAAGCCACGCACCAGGGGCTCTGTGAGGTAGATGGCCACGAACCCAAACCTGCAGACACCTAGGCAGAACTAAATGACAAAGAAAGAAAGAATCCATGTGAGAGACCAGGAAGATACAACCGACAGAAAACAACTCCAACTTCCTCCTGGAGCTCCACTTCCCGACACTACAGACTTGTGTCTGCCGCAGCAGGCAGGTGGCTCGCAGGTCCACGGCCTGGTTGTGCAGAAAGCAGTGGAATGCCTCGGAGTAGCCTGGAGCCCTGTGGGGCACTGCCAAGGCTGCCCGACTTCCCTGTGCCCATTCAGTCACTCCAATGAACAAGGCACGGTATTCGAGCTCCCGTGTGCGGTGTGAGCTTGGAGTAGTGCAGATTTAGGGAGGTCAAGCTCGGGCGCTCAAGAGACATTTATCAAACAAACGAGTGATAATCCACCTCTTCCTGCTGGGGTCCCACCTGAATGATGCCCGAAAGCAAGGTCACGGACATGGCCACTTTGACTCGCAAGGCGTCCCTGGCTTCTGTCCCGTTGGTGCTGTTGACTCCTCCTGGAATGACTATGTCATCGGGGACCAGTCGAACGGCCACGCCGCCGATCATCAGGCTGATGACAGCGAAGGGGCCTGGAGGAAGAAGGCCCAGGTGAGTCCCGCTCTGGAGGCCACATGCAGCGCAGTGTGGCCAACGGGGCTGCTGGCAGCGCATCAGGACACTCGGCAGAGGCCAACAACAGCCCGCACTGACTGTCCGCCTCCGGTGTCCTGCCCCCGAGGTGTGAACAACCTCAAGGGGACAGATCACAGGAGCGGGTTTCAAAAGCATGTAGGATATTAAAAGGCTGAAAGTTTATTTTCATGTAAAATATGTCTGCATAATACACATTTTCCGTGAACTTTTAGAAGCGGTCTCTCCTATTTTTCCCAAATGAATGCAACAAGCTTCATCTACCCTGTACCCTTTTCTGGACCCTAGTCACTTCCCAGCCAAGAGGTGGAGTCTGCTTCCACTCTCCTTGGATCGGCACGGAGTTGAGACCTGCTGGGGATCAGAAGCGAGACTGCGTGACTTTTGTTGACAAAGGTGGTAACACAGCAAAGACACACACAGACTAAAAGTGAAAGGACGGAAGAAGACATTCCATGCCGACAGAAAGCAAACATGAGCAGCAGTAGATCAAGTTTAACACAAAAACCCAAAGGAGACAGAGAGAGGCCATTGCTGTGGCACAGTGGGTAAAGCTGCCTATAGCTCTGGCACACCATCTGGGCACTGGTTTGTGTCCTGGCTGCTCTATTTCTGTTCCAGCTTTCTGATAATGTGCCTTAGAAGGCAGTGGAGGATGGCCCAGGAGGAATCCCGGCACCCATATGGAAAACACGAAAAGGACTTCTAGTTCCTGGCTTCCGATTGGCTCAGTAGCAATTAGTGTCTGCACCAAGAAATTAAAGAGCCATCAAATAAACAATTAACAATGCATCTCAAAGACCTGGAAAACCAATATCAAACCAAACCCAAAATTAGCAGGAGGAAAGAAACAAACTAAAATTAGAGGATAAAAATATTGAAATCAGGTAAATGAATTTCTAGTTTCTAGAAAAAATAAACCAAATTGATAAACCATTGTTCCAACTAACCAAAACATGTGTTGTTGTACATGTGAATAAACTGGAAAATCTGTAACAAATGGATAGATTTCTGCACTCATACAAGGCACTAAAATTCAGTCAGGAAGATACAGAAAGCCCAGCTAACCGGATAACCAAGATGGAGATTGCATCAGCAACAGAGACCTTCTCAATAAAGAAAAGACCAGGGCTGGATGACTTCCTAGCTGAATTCTATCAAACTTTTCAAGAACGAATTCCAATTCTACTCAAACTATTCAAAATAACTGAAAGGGAAGAAATCCTCCCAAACGCCTTTTATGAAGCTATCTTGTTTCCCAAATGAGAAAAAGATACAATAAAGAGATCTATAGAACAATACCTCCAATGAGCACACACTGAGAAATTCTCAACAAAAATACTAGCTAATGAAATCCAACCACATGTCAAAGAGTTTTCATTCAGATCAACGGGCATTTTTTCCCTGGTATGCAGGGATGATTCAACATACACAAATTCACAAATCTAATGCACTAGATTAACAAATGGAAAACAAAAATCATACAATTATCTCAAGAAATTCAGAGAAAGCATGTGCTAAAATGCAACATCCTTTCGCGATAAAAACCTTACAGTGAAGGCCATACAAGGCAACCCCACATCCAGGACCACACTGAATAGGGAAAAGTTGGAAGCATTTCAGCTAAGATCCGCAACAAGACAAGGATGTCCACTCTTACCACTGCTATTCAACACAGTTCTAGAATTTTTGAGCCATTAGATAAGAAAAAGAAATCAAAAGGACATAAACCAGAAAGGAGAAAAGTCAAACTCCTCCTGTTTCAGATGGCTTGACCAAAAATTCCACCAAGAGACAAGAGGAACTCATTTGAGAATCTGGCAAGTCTCCCGGATAAAAACCTCAACACACAGGGGCCAGCACTCTATCTTAGTTGGCTAATCCTCTGCCTTCAAGTGCCAGCATCCCAACTCACGCCCTGGTTCACATCCCAGCTGCTCCACTTCCCTTCCAGCTCCCTGCTTGTGGCTCAGGAAAGCAGCTGTGGATGACCCAAAGTCTTGGGACTCTGCGCTCCTGGATTCTGGTTTTGGATCAGCTCAGCTCTGGCCATTGCAGCCATTTGGTGAATGAACCAGCAAATGGAAGATTTGTCTGTCTGTCTTTCTCTCTATAAACTCTGCCTTTCCAATAAGAATCAATAAATCTATGAGGAAAAATCGACAAACAAAAATCAATAGCCTGTGTATAAAGAATGCCACAGCTGAGGAACAATTTGCAAGATCAGACCCATTCACAATAGCTATGAAAAAAAAAAAACTTGGAATAAGTTTAACCAAACAATGCACAAGATCTCTACCATTAAAGTCACAAAGCATAGAAAACATGAAAACTAGTAAAATCTTCCATGCTTTGTGGACTGGAAGCATTAATGTCATCAAAAGTCTGTATTACTCAAAGCAACTTACAGATTAAAGTTGATTCTAATCAAAATAATAGCAACATTCTTCACAACACAATTGCAAAGGCTCTGGGATTTCCTTTCCCCCGCTCCCAAAACCCCTCCCACCGTCACTGATTTCCCCTATATCATTACAACAGTACAGCCCTTCATAAATATTATTAAGTCTGCCATTAGGCTTTTAAAGTGTATCCCATCATTGCAAGTCTGGACAATGGCAGAGAGTCCAGTATCCTATTGGTAAGATATATTGAACAGTTTCATTGGAAGTCCATCTTTAATTTGGGAGTGGAGATTCATACAGCTTTGTGTCTTCACATCTGTATTTGATAGTCTCTATTACACAGTTACTATTCATCCCCTTAAATGAAAAGCCATAAAAAACAAAACCAACAACAGGAAAAAATAGAAAAGTAACAACATAAAAGTTAAGTAACATGCCACTGAACAACCAATGTGTCGCTGAAGAAATGAAAAGGAAAATAAAAAACCTTTTTGAAGCAAATGAGGCTACTGTGTGACTCATGAGTCAGTGAGGAAATAAGAATTTTTTTTTCTGAAAATAAAAACAAAAATATCAAAACCCTTGAGATGTAACACAACCAGCACTGAAAGGGTTTTTGATCTTGTGTTTGCACGAAGGTCACTTTATATCAGACAGAACATGTGATATTTATCCTTTGAGATTGATTTATTTCACCGAGAAAAATGGTCTCTAGTTGGGACTATTTGATTGCAAATGGTAGAATAAGACATTAAAAGATGGAGAGACTTGCCATGTTCCTGGACTGGCAGGATCAATATTGGTAAAGTATCCATATTACCAAAAGTAATATAAAGATTCAATGCAATCCCAATCAAAATCCCACAAACATTCTTCTCAGACAAGAGGATACAAAAGTTCATCTGGAAACACAAGAGACCACGAACAGCCTCAGCTGTCCTAAAGAACAAAAGTCAAGCTGGAGGAATCATGATTCCAGACCTCAAAACATATTACAGAGCAGTGGTCATCAAAACAGTGTGGTGCTGGTACAGAAACAGAGAAGATCAATAGAACAGAAACACCACAATGGGGCTCACTCATGTATGTCCAACTCATCTGCAACAAAACTGAAAACAATCCAGGGGAGCAGCCTGGCCTCTTCAACAAACGCTGAAGAAGTAACACCCCCACCTGTCCCCTTACACAGGACTCAGGTCTAAGTGGATCAAGGACCTCCATCTGCACCCGGAAACCACCGAACTATCAGAGGGGGAGCAAAAGATGGGAGAAAAGACTCCTAGGAAAGGCACCAAAAGCACAGGCAGGCAGAGCCAAAACACACGTGGGATTACATCACGCCGAGATGCTTCTGCACAGCACAGCACGGCATGGCACAGCACGGCACAGCACAACACAGCAGCACCCGACAGAACGGGAGAACATCTTTGCACACCACACGACAGGTAAGGGGCTAACACCCGGGATTCACAAAGAGCTTCAGAACTCCACGGCGGCAACACAAACAACTCTGTGAAGAAACGGGCGAGCGAGACGACGAGCCGGCATTTTTCACAAGCGCAAACTCCCACGGCTAATAAAGATGACCAGGCCCCCCCGCTGTCATTAAGAAAGCTACCAGAAACCTCAGGTTGTTTTTCCTTTTTTTAAAGCATACTACGCATGCGGTAACAAGCGATCATGCAGCAGAAGTTCTGATCAACAACCATGCTGTTTTTCACACGGCAAAACCTGCAAGTTTGCAAGGGAAGGCACTGCAAGACGGAGGGCGAGCGTTCACCTATGGATATGTGCCGGGAGGTCCCAAGGAAACAGTACATGATCACAGGATAAAATGACGAGTACAGGCCAAATATGGGGGGCACGGCCGCCAGCATTGCGAAGGCCAAGCCTGCGGGACGAAAAACCAAACACGGACGGGAAGGTGGTGAGGAGAGAGACAGGGTTCCACGCTCCCTCGGGCTCGGTTCTCTAGCTCGGATGACTGAGCAAAGCCCATTTGTTTAAAAAAAAATTAAAAGCATTAAAAAAAAAATTTTTTTTTTTTTATTGCAAAGGCAGATATACAGAGAGGAGGAGAGACAGAAAGATCTTCCAGCCAACGATTCACTCCCCAATCAGCTGCAGTGGCTGGGACTGAGCTGATCTGAAGCCAGGAGCCACGAGCCTCTTCTGGGTCTCCCACGCAGGTGCAGGGTCCCAAGGCTTTGGGCCATCCTCGACTGCTTTCCCAGGCCACAAGCAGGGAGCTGGATGGGAAACGGGGCTGCTGGGATTAGAACCGATGCCCATATGGGATTCTGGCTCATAGCAAGGTGAGGACTTGATCCACTAGGCTACTGCACCAGGCCCTATTTTTTTAATCTGAAAAGCAGAGTTAGGAAGAGAAAGGGAAGGGGAGACAGAGGAAAGGGGAGGCCGGGGGGCAGAAATGTTTGCAACGGCCAGAGCTGAGCTGAGCTGAAGCCAGGAGTCAGGAGCTTCATCTGGGTCTTCCATGTGGATTCAAGGTCCCTAAGGCTTTGAGTTGTCCTCCACTGCTTTCCCAAGCCATAACCAGGGAGCTGAATGGGAAACGGAGCAGCTGGGATTCCATCCGACGCCCGTATGGGATGTCAGCACGACAGGTGGAGGATCAGCTTGCTGTGCCACTGTGCCAGCCCTCGAAGCCCATTTTAATGTATGCAGGTTTGTCTAACCTACTGGCCTTTCTCTTGCAACCCTTCATGGGCTCCTGTATGTGGGCATGGAACCCGGGCTGTCCCCGTCTCCCGGTCAGCTGGAACCCGGGCTGTCCCCGTCTCCCGGTCAGCTGGAACCCGGGCTGCCCCCGTCTCCTGGTCAGCTGGAACCCGGGCTGCCCCCGTCTCCCGGTCAGCTGGAACCCGGGCTGCCCCCGTCTCCCGGTCAGCTGGAACCCGGGCTGCCCCGTCTCCTGGTCAGCTAACACTCCTCCTGGCCAGTTGGTGGATGGTTTCTCTTTTTTGGTCCCTGGCTTTAAGGTGCCAGGCCGGCTGGGTTGGGGGCGGCTGCCCTCTGGCGTTTGCTGCACAATCGCTAGCTCTTCCTCTGACTGGGGGGTGCTCTTGCAGCCCCCCAGAGCCTCCGGGCTCGCAGGGGTCTTCCTACCACGGCAGTTCCTGGGCCACCGAGCCGCCCCTTCATCTATTGTGCCGATTCCTCCTCTAATCAGCCAGGCGCTCTTTGTTGATTCTTCCCACTGCCTTATGCTCACCCTGCAGCCGGGACTGGGCAGGCTCCTGGTTTGAAGTTAACCGAGCTTGATCACCTTGCAAGGGGTGTGCGCGTGCGTGCAGGGGACATCTGTCTAAATGGGAAAGCTTGATTTTTTTTCCCCTAGGACATTTAGGAAGTGCGAGTCCCACTCTGAGGAGGACTCCGTCTTCGTTATGCTGTCACACGTAGCTCATCTCATCCTTGACAGGTGTTTTTTTTTTTTTAAAAAAAAAGATCTGGGCCCGGCACGGTAGCCTAGTGGATAAAGTCCTCAGCTTGTATACGTGCTGGCATCCCATATGGGCGCCGGTTCTAACCCCAGCAGCCGCGCTTCCCATCCAGCTCCCTGCCTGTGCCCCGGGAAAGCAGTCGAGGACGGCCCAAAGCCTTGGCACCCTGCACCTATGTGGGAGACCCGGAAGAGGCTCCTGGCTCCTGGTTTGAGATCAGAGAAATTCTGGCCATTGCAGGAACATGGGGAGTGAACCATCGGACGGAAGATCTTCCTCTCTGTCTCTCCCTCTCCTCCTCTTCTCTGTTTGTCTGCCTTTCCAATAAAAAAAATAAATCTTAAAAAAAAATTATTTTTAGTCTGGATCAATGGCCCTCACGCTCAGTGCTATTTTGCCCACTCACAACACACTTCCCGTCCTCCCGCCTCAGTTCTCCAATCTTGCAATCCTGCTTCCTCAAAGAGGCTTTTTGACTTTCCTCGTACATTCGCTCTCCTGGTATTACCTCATTGCACCTTTTCCTTTTGCTGTCACCATCACTTACTATTTTGTTTCTGATTTATTTATTTTTATTGGAAAGGCAGATATACAGAGAGGAGGAGAGACAGAGAGGAAGATCTTCCGTCCGATGGCTCACTCCCCAAGTGACGTCAATGGCTGGAGCTGAGCCAATCCGAAGCCAGGAGCCTCTTCAGGTCTCCCACGTGGGTGCAGGGTCCCAAGGCCTTAGGCTGTCCTCGACTGCTTTCCCGGGCCACAGGCAGGGAGCTGGATGGGAAGCGGGGTCGCCGGGATTAGAACTGGCGCCCATATGGGATCCCGATGCGTGCAAGGCGAGGACTTTAACCATTATGCTATCACGCCAGGCCCACCATCCCTTACTATTGAAGACCCTCATGTGAACTGATTTTCTGAGAGCTATTAGCGGCGAGTGGCAGGAGGCCAGGGAGGTGCTTCATAAACATCTATTTATTTATGTGAATACACTAATGGAGATTTTCTTATTCCATTACCAAGAAAACCAGAGAGCTGCAAAGGAATTTGGTTTGTCGTGGTCCCTGGGGGATAAGAGTTTCCATCACCGGCTCACTTCTCAAATACCCGAAACGGCTGAAACTGGACCGCGTTGAAGCCAGAGAAAGAAACTCTACCTGCGTGTCCCATGTGGGTGGCAGGAACCAAAGGCCTCGGGCCATGCCCTGCTGCCCGCTGGGGTCTGCGTTAGCAGGAAGCTCACATCAGGAGCAGAGGAGCTGGGACTCGAACCAGGGATGTAAGTGTCCCAGGCCCAACTAAATATTTTTAAAGAATTCCTTTACACAGGTCATGGTTACTAGAATAAAAGGGCAGTGACATCGCTGCCTGGCGTGCCCACATCCCCCGTCGAGGTCCCTGGGTCTGAGTCTCGGCTCTCCTTCCACACCAGCTCCGTGTACAGACACAGCACAGGCTAAAGCAGGTGCAGGCTCCGGGACCTGTAGACTTGCCGCCCATGTGGGAGATCCAGAAGAAGCTCCTGGTTCCCAGCTTCCATTTGGCCCAGCTCTGGCTGTCGCTGTGGGCGCGTGGGGAGTGAACTAGCAGGTGCAAAGATCTCTGTCTCTTTCCTTTTAATAAAAAAATCGCACCAGGTATAAAAGAAGTAGAACCACCAGTTTCTTTAAAAAAAAAAAAAATCTCAGAGTAAATGATGGGGAAAAAAAATACAGGATTCGAGCAGTTGTGTAAAGAGATGGCAGGAGAGGAAAGCCAGAAAGACAGACTTGTATTGTACTCACCTTGAGGCAGCTGCAGCACCCCTGTGCTTATGCCGGAGACCAAGTCCCCCAGCACATACTCCTTGAATTTATATGCTGGTAACCATTTCGTTATGGGCAGGAACATGTAAATGATGTTCCTGATTTTCTTGGGAGTGCATCTGGGGGTGGGGGGGACAGAGAGAAAGCTGTGAGTGAAGAACGCCTCCGCGGGGGTCCCCCACAGTCCCCTCCAGGCGTCTTCCCTTTCTCGCTTTCGCAGGCTCAGGTGGCAGGATGCTTAGGCCTAGAACTGGTTTGACCCACTTGGAAACTCATGCTGGTGCTTAATGCCCATTGCGAGGCAATAGGAGGGTGGAAGCCTCATGTGTCTGTGCAGCTTCTGGGAGGTGGACCCGGAGGACACCCAGGGGTGTTCCCTGCCTCTAGCCTTGTGATACCCTAAGGAGGGAGCCTCAGGCCTGGGCCTGCCACAGGGAGGAGCCAAACAAAGAGTCTCCTCTCTTCTGAATGCTTGCCATGGTCTTGTGTTCGCAGCAACAGGAACTGGACCAAGACAAGCGATGAGGGCACATTCACAACAGGTGATTCAGAGGATGCTGCTAAGCGGGGCAGGAGACCTCGGGAGTGGGAACCAAAGACGGAGCTGGCCGGCATCTCCCCGGGAGCCCGAGGACAGGGGTGGCCACTCGAAGGTGCAACTGGGAGCTGCCTTATGTAACCCTCCGTTAGGGGTGGGGAACGCCCAGCGCGTGGACTCTGAGATCCCCTTAGTTCTGGCCCTGCCAAAGCCACTGTGGGCTGGATTCAAGGTTCAGTAAAACCCAGAGCAGGCTCATTCTTAGGTTAATTCTGGATCATGTTGTCAGTATCCAAATGGTCCCTTTGCTTTGAAGAGACATGACGCCTGGGAGAAACCACACACACACACACACACAGGGAAACACCTGCCTGCATTCAACAGATACCACACCCCAGATGCTCCAATGAGGTTGGTTGGGTCATTGGCCTCTCCTCCACGCATCAAACGTGTCTACTGCTCCCACCCCACTTCCTGCAGAACCGGACCACTGCCTGCAGAGGAGGAAGTTCGGAGGGCACCGTACGTGAAGGCCTGTTTCAGCTTATCGCCGATGGAGTCGGCAACCTTGTCCTTGGTGTGCAGCCGCTCCTGGAGGACCGGATGGCTGAAGATGGGCCTCTCCACGCAGTACCTCTCGGGGGCCGCAGGAGGCGCCTGCTCCTCAGCATGATCCATGGTCCCGAGGATGGGTCATCAGCGGCAGGAGGCAAACATTTCCCAGGCGTCCCTGAGGGGGGGGGGAGAGCAAACAACATTGGAAATGCCAAGTCTTTTCGCTGGTTTGGAGCCCTTCTTGGGACACCCCAGGGTGCCTTACACATTCTTCTCTAAGGAGTAAGCACTGAAATATGCAATGAAACCAGAATTGCCAAAAAGAATAAAACGCTCCCAGGGCAATGCATGAAGGATGCGTTTACATTTTTTTTTTTTAAATTTAAAAATATTTCTTATTTGAAGAGCAGATTTTACAGCGAGAGAGAGAGAGAGAGAGAGAGGTCTTGCATGTGCTGGCTCACTCCCCACATGGCCACGGTGGTCAGAGGTGGGCTGATCCAAAGCTGAGAGCCAGGAGCAGCTTCTGGGTCTCCCAAGTGGGAGCAGGAGCCCAAGGACTCGAGCCATCCTCCACTGCTTTCCCAGGCCATAAGCAGAATCCTGAATTGAAAGTGGAGCAGCCGGGGCAAGAACCGGCACCCATATGGGATCCTGGTGTGTGTAAGGTGAGGATTTAGCCACTGAGCCAATGTGTTGGGCCCCAAAACATGATTTTAAACAAAAATACAGGGAATGAATGATTGGCTTAATGGCTAAGACGCGCACTCCCCATAGCAGAGTGGCTTGGATGGAGGCCTGCCTGATACTCCGGAATCCAGCTTCCTGCCAGTGCAGACTCTGACCGAGAGCAGGTGAGGACAAGAGCCTGTACCCACACAGAGCCTGGCTGCTACCTCTGACCCTGGCTGTTGTCTGACACTGGCTGTTGTCTCTGACCCTGGCTGTTGTCCGACACTGGCTGTTGTGTCTGATACTGGCTGCTGTGGTTTTTTGGGCAATGAACCAGCAGATAGGAGATCCGTGCCTCTCTAGATCTCAGAGTTCAAGTCAACTAAATATTAAAGTGAGACTCAGGGGCTGACGCGGTGATGCAGTGAGTAGAGCAGCCGCCCGTGGCACTGGCATCTCACATTAGCAGCACTTCGAATCCTGCCTGTTCTGATTCAGCTCTCTGTTGACGCACCTGGCAAGGCAGGTGGATGATGGCCCAAGATCTCGGACCTCTGACACGCATATGGGACACCCAAAATTCTCCTCTCTGATCTTCCATGCTCTGCCATGAGAGTAACGGTTCCTCTTCTCAAAGAGAAGGAAGGTCTAATATCAGATGCTGATTTTTCTCCTGTTGGCAAAACTCCCTTTGGTCGACGGCTTTTCCTGTGACCCACCATGAACCTGCCCAGCTGTCAGGGGGATGAGTCAGGATGATTCCTCTGTAGCAACGATGTTCAACTCCAAGGCAGAGGTGACCAAACCTTGCCAGTTCCTGCCATGTGCTGCGCCAGGGGTTAGCTGCTGGTTTCAGGGACTTACTCTGAATGGATTCCTCATGGATCTGCAATTCCACATTTACTGGATACGCACAGCAAGGATCCCTGTGCCCGGCTATGTCGTCAGACATAGCTATTTGTCTTCAAGATTTATTTTTTATTGGAAAGGCAGATTTACAGGGAAGAGACAGACTTTATTTCCAAGTTCTCTGGCTAGGGGCCAGCACTGTGGTCAAGGTTAAGCTGCCAACTGCGATGCTGGCATTCACACGTGAGCACAGTTTCAAGCCCTGGTTGCTCGGCTTCTGATTCAGCTCCCTGCTACTGCGCCTAAGATAGCAGGTAAAGATTGCTCAAATACTTTGGGCCCCGTGGCCCCACTCGGAAGACTTGGATGGAGCTACTGGTTGCTGGCTTTGCCTGGCCCAGCCACTGTGGCCACTTGGGGGGTGAACCAGCAGATAACAGCTTGTCTTCTAATAAACCTTAACAAATGCTCTCTGGAGTTTCTCATTTATACCTACTGAGCTAAAGACCACTTGCCGCTTCTTATTCTCCTCCCAAAACTTCACAATTTCTTCTATTTTACTAAGCAGAGGAACTGTGTGTGTGTGTGTTCAATACCCCCCCCCCCCAAGACATTCTGACTGCTGTACTTATAAACAGCATCGGAGAGCGTAGGTTTTTGGCTTAGAAGACACGACACCCACATCCCACACTGGAAGACCTGGGCTGGTCCAGGAGCTGCATGATCTAAATTTGCTCCTGTCTTTTGGCCAAAGGCAGGAATTCTCCTCTTCCCCCCGCCCCCCTCAAGAGGAACTTCAACTACAGGAACCTGAGTTAGCAATACACACGCAACTCTGGATTTGCCAGTTTCACTTGGGAGCTGGGCTTGGTCCTCAGCCCTGGCTGCACAGTCGGGTCCCCTTGGGCAGTTCCAAATATGACTGAGGTCTGATACTGCCAGGGATTCTCACGTAATGGGCCTGGGCAGGCAGTGATGGAGAATTTAAGAAGTTCCCAGGGATTCTCTGACGTAGCCAAAGTCCAAAGCCACTGCTTTAGGAAATGACGAAAACGAATGACCACACCCACACACCTCAACAAGGAAAGAGGATGGAACTGCACAGGGTGGGCGTAAATTGTGCACGGTGTATTACAGTCCCATGATTATTGAGTAAGGAGAGAGAGAGAGAGAGAGAGCCCAAGCCCTCTTTGTAAGCGTACAGCGTTGCAACAAAAGGGAGGTGTGTCTCAAGTGGACAGAGTGACACCCACTGCACATGCGCAAAGGAGGCCCAATACCCACAGCCTTGTCACTGAGGGTTTAAATGAGGAGCAAGTCTCAAAGACATCTAGATCTCGAGATGTTAGATGGAGGTAGCATTAGGGTCTGCCCTCTGGGCAGGGCTGCCAAATACTGCAAGTCTACTGAAATTTGAAAGTCACAGTGGCAATGAACAGCTACAGATCTCCAAGGCTTCATGTATCATATCAAACACCTCCAAGTTTCCTCCTGCTTTCCTTATTATTTTGTGATAAAAACTTTTTTCAAAAAAGATTTGGGCCTGGCAACGTGGCCTAGCAGCTGAAGTCCTCGCCTTGAACACGCCGGGATCCCATATGGGCGCTGGTTCTAGTCCTGGCAGCTCCACTCCCATCCAGCTCCCTGCCTGTGGCCTGGGAAAGCAGTGGAGGACGGCCCAAAGCCTTGGGACCCTGTACCCATGTGGGATACCCGGAGGAAGTTCCTGGATCCTGGCTTCGGATCGGCATAGCATCGGCCGTTGCACTCACTTGGGGAGTGAATCGTTGGACGGAAGATCTTCCTGTCTCTCCTCCTCTCTGTAGATCTGACTTTCCAATAAATAAATAAATCTTTAAAAAAAAAAAAGATTTACTTACTTTTATTAGAAAGGCAGATTTACAGAGAGGGAGAGACAGAGAGAAAACTCTTCCATACATTATTTTAATTCCCAAAAGGATGCAGCAGCCAGAGCTGAGCTGATCTGAGACCAGGAGCCAGGAGCTTCTTCCAGGTTTCCCATGTGGGTGCAGCGTCCCAAGGCTTTGGGACAGCCTCTGTCGCTTTCCCAGGCCATAAGCAGGGAGCTGGATGGAGCAGCCGAGACACGATCCGGTGCCCGTGTGGGCTGTCGGCCCTTACAATGTGAAGGAATAGCCAACTGAGCCATTTTGCTGGCCCAACAAAGACTCTAAGCTCTTGCCTCCGAAGTGTACAATGCAGTCCTGCTGACCACAGGCACGAGGGTCCCAGATTTCTCAGACTTACTCATTTTGCTCCCCCTAATACTCTCCTCCCTGCCCTAACAGCTCCTGAATTCTGCTCTCCCAGCATCAATGCTTTCTCATCTTCACATGCTGTTTCTGGGCAGGACTTTGGGCCAGCGGTTAAGATGCTGCTTGGCACACTTGCGCCTCCTACTGGAGCACCTGGGTTCCTTCTGCAGCACGGATTAGCGCGTGTGCTTGGGTCCCTGCCACCCACATGGAGACCCGGACTGAATTCCCAGGCATGAGGACAGCCAGGCCAAGTCCCAGCTGTGGGCATTTGAAGAATGAATCAGAGGAAGGGAGAGTCTTTCTCTCTGCCTTTAAAAATAAATAAAATGTAGAAGGAAATATAAAGAAGAAATTCTTGGCTCGCTAAAAAAAGTTCCTAAAGACATTCTGAGATGAGCCTTTGGCAAATCTGTTTCAAGTGCCGTTAAAGTTTGTGCTTAAACTCACTAGAATGCACTTCTTCAATTGATTTGTTTTCACTGAAAACGCAGATTTACAGAGAGAAGGAGAGACAGATTTTCTGTCCAATGGCTCACTCTCCAGATGGCTGGAGCTGAGCTGATCTGGAGCCAGGAGCCAGGAGCTATTCTGGGTCTCCCATGCAGGTGCAGGGTCCCAAGGCTTTGGGCCATCCTCGACTGGTTTCTCAGGCCACAGGCAGGGAGCTGGATGGGATGTGGAGCAGCTGGGACAGGAACTGGCACCTCTTTGGCCACCCTCCCTTCATTTGGGTTTTAGAATAATCACACAGCATTTCCCTATATGAATATCAAATGTGCTTATCAGAATTACAAGGCACTTACGAAAAGCATTTTTATCCTTCGACAGATACCCAGTGCTATCTCAACAGAGACTACTTTTTAGTCAACTTCACATTTATTTCTTTTCACCTGCTCCTCCAGGCCTTGCAGCTTCGTCCCTTCCTTCATCTACCCAGTGCAAACCTACTGAACTCTTCTTACAGGTCAGACTGCAACGGCCAAGTTGGCTGCACCAAACGGCTCAGGAGCCACAGCTCTGAGAACCTTGTCCCCTGATGTCCACAGCTGTCTGCACCTGCTGAAGGACTCCTCACAGGTGGACGGGGCTCTGTGAAACAGGGGAACACGGAGCGACACGGGAAATCCTGGGGGTGAGCTCCAGAGACGGCTGGCAAGGAAATGCTCACAGGAAAGGAGACAGGAGGGCTTCTGATAAACGTGTCAATTTTATAATAACAGAGGGAAAAGTAACGTCACTACAGTTTTTGTGAAATAATTTTTCCCATGTAGAAGTGATTCATATTACATGTACCTCACAAATGCATTTATGAATAGACATATA